ATGATTATGAATCAATAAAAAATAAGTAAAAAAAAGAATAAAACTTTTCTTTGCCAATTATTTTAAAATAAAAGCAAAACTTAGTTGTTTATGAAGATAATCCACTATGGGTTCACAGAATGACCATGATATTCCTTGGAGACTTTTGCCAATGAAATGTAAAAATGAGAAACTAGGAATTCCCATCATTCCCACTGTATTCAAGGTTTCACATTTTAACTTGTAAATACACATTAAATTTTTTTCTGTATTAAAGCATTTGGTCTTTAACTTTGTAACATGTAAAACTTCAGGGTCATAGTAACACTGTTCTCAAGTCTACTCAGCAAAGACCAAGTTACTAGCATTAACTAGTGTAAAAATGAAGTTTTGACTACTGAAAATCTTAAATATACCCCTCAAAATTAGTCTTTAAATTATATATTCATGTAATTGTAGTAGAAAATTAGTGAATATTCAACTAAAGGAAAAAAAATTATACTGACATCTCATTACTTCTATAGATGATGGACTCCCAGATAAAGATATAGGAGCTAGGTCAAGGCTGTTATCCCGTAGAGTATCTCTCAGGAGAGATGAGTTTTTCCTTTCTTTTGATATATCCTTTTGTATTTCGGCAGAAAAGGAATCCTGCTGTTTCTTTGGCAGCTTCACAGTTTTGCTTCTGGAATGTATACTCTCCTCCTAAATGTATTCATAACTTTCAAATTATACTCAAATACAAATAATTTATACTTGGACATATAAAACTAAGTTACACTGAAGTATTTATTAAATGCCTTATATCACTAAGTACAGGCATAATAGGGGCCTCAACATGACTAGTAAAAGACTTTCTAATATACTAGAAGGCAGATGACAAATTCACAAGAAAACATAATATACATAGACTATAATAAATATCTTAAGAGCTACATATAAAATGCTATGACAGTTCAAAGAAGATTATATCCAGTTTAGGGAAACCAGGAGGAGTTCCTAGATTTCACGGTACATGACATGCTCAGGAGTTTGTAAAAGAAGACGGCAGGAGATGTGACTGAGAGTGTGGAGGACCACTGATTCAAGCAGAAGGAGCAGAGAGACACAGGTCTTGTTTGGGAGTCACAGGTTCTCCATTTGACTGTTCCAGCTCTGGGTATATAATGGGGAAGTGAGAATAAAAGCTTAGAAAGGTATTTTGATGCTTTGAATGTCTGTTTGGAAATTTTTAGGGTTTTTCTTTGAAGAGAGTAGGATGAAAGTTGGTTTGGCAAGATTTACCTACCTATATGTAAATGAAAGTAAGGAGTGATAGAAAATCTGGAGGTAAGTTATATTAAATCCTTAAGATCTTTCAGGTAAGAGATAACAGGGAGAGAAAGAGGTTTAATCATTTAAAATGAGAACAGTATAATGGTCAGAGACCTACCTCTACTGCCAGACTCTGAATTCAAATCTTTGTTTCACCACTTCCTAGCTGTGTGAACTTGGGCAAGTTCCTTCATCTCTCTGAACCTCAATTTTCTCATTTGCAAAATGAGATGTCATTAGTAGTCATTAAGTATGCTACTTAAGGTTTTAAGAAATTAAATCTATAAAATGCTTAGAATAGCACCTGGCACATTGTAAGCACTATATTCTTTTTTTTTTTTTACTTTGTTAAGAATGCCTTCAAGTATAGGCTGGGGTATGTCTATAAGACTGAGACATAAGGAAGAAGTCAGGTATGAACAGAAGTAGGGCAGTGTATGGGAAGAAACTCAGATCCAGTTATTTTTGCTTTTACACAAGAAAAAGATCCAGATTCCCAACTGTCTGTACTTTCCTGAAGGATAATTTTGGGAAGGACTACATACTTCTCTAATTCAAAGATACTATCTTAAAGTTATAATTTTACTAGAGTCAAATACCTGTTTTGTAACACTAATGCCAACTTATTACAAATTTTAACATTATACTGCCTAAGGATCAATTTTTAGAATTATTGTGTAAATTTTATCATATAGAAAGTTAAATCTTAAAAAGAAGTGGCAAGTCTGATATTCTTACAAAAATACACTCTATTTAATATTTTAGGAGGCTTTTAGAAATTATTAATCAGATATCTACTTACCTTTACTAGCAATTTTTCTTTAAATGAATGTGAAAATTCTTGTTCACTCTCTGATTCTGAATTTGAGAGATCCTTATAATTTTTTTTGGTTTTTGCTGCTCTTCGTGGAAGTCTGGTTCTCCCCTCTGGAACTGTCTCATCTACCTTTTTGGTGATATTTTTGTTGGGTGTCTTTAGGAGAAAAATTCCTGAATATATTAGATCACTATTTTGAGATACAAGCTATTTGCTATAAAATTAGCACTGTGACAAGATCCATAGATGCACAGGAATAAAAATATTCCTGATTAGTATTTTTAAATGAGTGGATTTTATCTTCCCATTCCAAATATATTCTTTATCACTTTTTTAGCCTTAATATTAAAGCTCTGAGAGGCCTGATATATATTACTTAAGAGAAAGAAAAGGAAAAAATAGATATCAAAAATACCTATAAGCACAGAATAAAACAGACCTAAAACAGGCCAACATGATTCAAAAAGGCAGAAGGCAGAAGTAAGTGTGCAGAGCCTGAAACAATTATGGATAAACAAGGATAACAAGGATCAAATTATGAGATGACAAATGGCATTTTTTTTTACAGGAAAAGAGAAAAATAATTTTGAAAAGATGTTTCAACACAAACTTCCCAGTTTTACCATTTTAGATCTTGGTTGTCTCCTTTCCAAAGATGGTCCTGCAATTCAAGAAAATAAGGTTGAATTTTTCAAATAGATGAGAACTGACATTAAAAGTTACTAGAATATTTCTCCATATAAGTTAGAATCATGAAAAACAAGAATACACCTTTAAACTCATTCAAAAATTTAAGTTTCAAGATGAGACTAAACCGAGATTGATACATGTTTACAGGATAGGTTGGTATAACATGAATTATCAAGTTCCCTTCTAAATTAATTAATTAAATAAAATAAAACAAACTTTTAAAACATACAAGAAAATATATAACATACATTACAAAGTTAACACTCACGAATTACCATTCCATTTATCTGAATCTACTTTGTGTACTCTTACATGACCTTCCATATCCCCTCTGCCAAAAGGTAATCACTATCCTGAAACTCCGTTAGTCACACGTATATATCTCTAAACAGTATAATTAACTTTATAAAACAGAATCATGTCATTTGATATTGTCATGTTCAAGCCAAGGAAGTAATGAAGTTCTAGAAGAAAGGTCCTCCAATCCTGGCAATAAGCCAGCTCCTACATATTGACTTGTAGTCATTCAGCCATTTAAACAAAACAATTCACTCAGGAGCGTTCAGTTTTAAGAGCTTTTACTGATTACAGTATTCAAACATTTACTGTCTTCCCAAGATTTCTAATCAATGTTGTAAATGTCTTCATTTGTATATCTTCCCACCAGACTACAAGCTCCCTGGGAGTATGTGGCTCTTACCGTGTTTCTCCTTGCCTCACAACACACTGCTTCAAAGTCCAGACACTATGACTAGACCCAGCTGCACCTTTCAGCATTTTCCACAAAGTCTGATTACACTCCAACTACTCCAATACTGCATTCCCTGGGCATACCATGCTATGCCATACTCTCTCTTTTACATAAAAAGATAATTCTACTGCTGCTCTTCCTCATGTATATGATTGAACTCTCATCTGTTTTCAAGATTCAGCCTCACTTCTAAACACAGACCAAAGTTCATTTCTGTATCTCTATGTTCACTTCTTTTTAAGACATCATTCCCTCCCCCAACTGCCACAGGTCACTAATGATTATTTTTATCCTGAAATAAAATAAACAGTGATTTCCTTAAAATAAATATAAATTTAAAAGTTCTGAGTTATGTTATGTTGAACATATAAAATCTTTGAGTTTTAGTAAACACTGAAATTGATGTTAAGCTATGAAAACAGTCATTATGTCTAGCCAAAACCAATACCTCAAACCCTCATCCAGCTACTTCAAGAAGGCAGAAGCCTTATGCTGGGAAAACGTTTTGTGGATGATTTAGGCAAAAATATTTCTCTAAGAAAACTGTTTTCCTTTCAATAAGTTTTTATTGCATCTATATGAATTCCTAAAAGGTATGTGTGTTGGGTGTGGCAGGAAGTGGGATACTGTCCAAGTTTTTTGTTTAAGGTGGTGTTGGGTTCATGAGTACTTAATACATTATTCACAATAGACAAATGATGAGAGTATGTCATGAGCCAAGATTATGATAAATCATATTTTGAGTCCCTAAGGTCCCAATAAAAAAAGTAATCTAAGTATAAACATATTATCAAAAAAGTAACACTTTATTCTTATTCATAAAGGTATGTAGTTATAAACACTCTCTACATACAAAAATATATTTATGAACCAACAAAGCATTTTATATAGTTGAAATGGTAAAATCATTTACAAAAAAGTGATTTCTTACTTGATCTCCCACTTTTATGTTTCTTCACATTTTTATTTCTGCTGTAGTCTATTAGCTGTGGTTTTGATTTTGGTTCTCTTAGCCAGCTAATATCTGTCTTCATGTCATCACAATTGTATTCTGTGTCAGTATCACTAAAGAGATTTTTCTTTTTATGATTTGTTACAATCTATAAAAAAAGACAATCCTTGTAATAGATGACAAAAATCTGTCTTATTATATGTCATGCAAAGGAAGTTAAGCCAAAAAAAAAAAAAAGGAAAAACTAACTTTTTTTTTAGCATACTAATCTGGCATTAGGGATCTATCCAATAAAGTCACTCAGAAATCCATATCAGAGATCAAGATTTAATTAACAACAACACTGGCAGCAAAAATATAAAATTTAAATCAAAATAGCTTACTTCCATAGAGACATAACCCAATACCAGCAAAGAGATAACCAAAATTGTCATATCATCTTACTAGATTGCAGATAGCTCAGAGACCATAAGAAAAGTCATAATGGGAACATCTCCTATAATTTAAAAAATGATCCAAATATTTTTGTTTTCCAGTTCTGTGATAATCTTTGGCATTGAAAAATTATTAAAAGAAATACTGATGTTAATAGACACATTAGGATATTATAACTTACTCTTTTATCTTTTGTTTTGAGAGAAGTTTCAAGTTCATCATGATTCCTTAAATCTACCCTTAAACAAAAATATGCATTAATTTTAATCTTAATTACTCGTTTTCTTAAGTTGGCATGCAGCTGCAGAGTTAGACCTGGGTTTTCCATCTTAACTCTTTCACTAACTTACTACATAATTGTGGCCAAGTCACTTTTTCTCTTAAAGTGACCTTACTTAAATTATATCAAACAACAAGGTTAAAGGAAAGGATTACTAACTCCTTTCCACTTTATCATCTAAGATATACAACTAATATTAAAAGTGTACAGTGTTCTACATGGTAATTTTAGAAGCAAATACTGAAATAAAAGAACCATAATAGAAGTTATGACAATGGCATTTTTATTCACTCTTTTTATATGTTAAAAACTCAGACAAACTGGGAGGAAATATTTAAGAAAAAGAACAACTGAGAAAAGTATATTTTAAAATGACCCATCTAATTGTTAATAAAAATACCTACAATGTTACTGAAGTATCCACACAGGCTTCTCTAGCTGTAGCTTGAAATTCCTGGATCTATATTGTGAATAAGCATTAAAAATTTTCTCTCAGTGTTAAAATAAGGTTTAAAAAAAAGAGAAAGAAATAAACATTAAAAAAAATCTCATTTCTATCACTTCTATCATATAAGATGGGACAATAAAATTAAGCTTACTAAAATATTTTTATGCTTAAGAAGAAAGCTAATAATATAAAATATACTAAAAACAAGAGTAATAATTTTAAATCTGTTGCCATCAGTAAGTGATTTTCTTGATGCCCCAATTACTCATTTTTGTCTACTTCAGTCCAAAAGATTGGAAAGAAAACCAAATATGCTTAGGATGGTATTGAATAAATTTTGAAATATTTAACAATGTATTTTAAAATATTTTAAAGCATATTTACAAGAGGATGGAAATCCTCTAATAACTGCAAATACAAAATACTGAGTAACTAATACAAAAATAATGACTAATTTCTAGCTTACTCCAAGTTTTATAATAGGCTCATCCGCTCCATTCAAATTAAAATTGTAAACATCATTCCTGTAAAAATGAAGAGAAATATTAACTCCATTATACAACAAATATTTTCTTTAAATATGAAGAAAACTTTACAATTTATGAAAAATTACTTACAATGGGCATTCAGAAGTAACATTAACGAAAGTAGTCTTCAATTGTCTATAACTTTTTTTCTGAACCTTTTCCTAAATACAAAAAAAAATTTACATAAAACCATTCAAACTTGTATATTACTATACTTGGCAAACAACATATGAAGTACATTTTCATATATTATCTAGTTGTGTTTCCACTAATAAAAATTTTACATTTGTAACAATTTCCTTAAATATCCACACTTTTAAAAATACTAAAGACTTATGTATTAAACTGAGGAGTGCTGTAAATCAAATACAAAATATAAAATCCTTTTATCTTGATTATTTATTGACATAGGTAAATGACCTCACTGGTATTCTACAAGCTGAATTTTAGTGATTCTAGAATCATAAAACAAGCATGTTTCTGTTTTTTTTTTTTTTAAGACTCATTTGCTGTTAACTCTTAAATAGAAAAGCTTTGGGAAAGGTTTAGGTTTATGTAAAATCTCCTGCGAAAGAGTCAAAATTGTATTAATCAACTAGTACTACTAGAGAAAAAATATAGGTAACGTTATTCCTATAGCCTAATGCTCAAAGTATATTCAATGTGATCAAAAAGTAGGCAGAAAAGAAGTTAAATCAAAATTTAACATATTGAGTAATTATGTTATTAAAGTCATTTAACTAAGTACATAAATAATATCACTAAATGATTGCTTACTGATCAGAAATAATTAGAAGTCTAATTTAATATCCAGAAGTTGGAAATATTAAAACTAAAAAACATTCATTTTAGTTGTGATTCATCCTCAATTTTATTATTTCTTTTGGCTTCTTTATATAGAATTATTTGCCTAATTTCAAAAAGTTTATCCATCAATGTATTACTCCTCTGATCACTTATCTGACTTATCCCTTCCAGTACGATTTTTACCAGTGTTTAGATATATTTGCCCAATTCATCTTTTGCATGTCAGTGTATTCTGGGTATTACAGAAGATCCAAAAATGAGCAAAGATAATGAAGAGTGTACAAACGTGAGTAAAGGTCTACAAAGACAATTCTAAACAGTTGCACTCTAGTGGAAGATAGAAGAGAGAAAGAAAGAACTGCAATAGTGAATAAAATATCAAAAAATAAAAGGTACAAAGACATTATTACACAGACTTCAGAATTCTTGCCCACCTGAATTTTGAGTCAGAGAACCTTAAAAAGGTTTCACAAAGAAGGTGACTCTGAAGCAGGGCTTACAAAGAAGAATAAAGTTTTGACAATGAGAAATGAGGGTGGAAGAGCCTGATGACTCACTTTGAAGTTCTTTCCAAAGGGGAAGGAAAAAGAATAAACACTTAGAAAAAACACTAAGGGAATTACTGTGTTTCAGCTAAATAAGACATGTCTAGGGAATTAATGTTAGGAAATCAGACTGACTTTTAAAAGGTCTTGGGAGCCAGCTTAAGTCTCTACTTAATTCAATAAGAAAGAGACCAAAGAAGGATTCTGAATGAGAGAACGACATGATTAAAGCTCTGTGATTTAGAAAGTTAAAAAGCTGGTATTGAATGTAATGAATGGATTGGCACAGAGAAATACTAGTGGCAAAAAGAATTACATAAAGGCTATTGTAATAATCCATGGACTAGAATTTAGAACTCAAACAAAAAAATAGGAGTTGGCAAAGGTAGGAGAGAGAAGATTTAAGAGGAATGTACAGACAGAGAAGGTGAACCTCAAAACAAAATTAAGTGAAGACAGAACATAATTGTGAGGAATAAATAAAAAATAATGGATATTTTAAGCCTGGATGAAAAAAAATAAATGTTTTTAACAAAAATAGGGATTTAAGAATAATCTTATTGTCAGGAGAGAAGAGTTTAGCTAGAAAAAAATATCTGAATCATGTACCAAAAGGTAAAAATATCACATTCATATATGTAAGAAAAGCAGAACAGAAGGTTAGGGGGGCTACTTTGAGTACTTGCCACTGAACTTGTCAGCCATTTAATCCATTTATCAATATGTTGAAAACATTAAATCTACTTCCATCCTACTACTTACTACTCTATGTTAGTCTTTACCGTCAAATATTGTAGAGTTTGACTACACGTTTGGTGTAGTTAAATAAATGAAACCTACCTTACTGAGCTGTAGATCAGATTTGTTTGAAAAACCACTATAAAAAAGGTTTGTCAAAATTAAAAAACAATTAAATGTCAGTAGAATGTTTTACATAAAAGCCATTTTATACAAGGTAAAACATATTTGGGTCACTGAGTCTCCATTCAAATGCTACATATAACTGAAATGTGACAGTACTAGTCTGATAGTTTTGCAAGTTCCCCCAGAGTAAACAGCAACAATAATAGTTAAGTCCAAAAGCTGAACCATTCATGCAGCAGGAGGTGCCAAGCAATTTTCTTAAAACTGTTCTGCCATGAGAGTAATTTTTTTCATGCCATAAGACCAAAATTAATTTAAACATGAATTAACCACCTGGTAGCCCATAAAGACACATTTTATAATATGAGAAAACCTTCAGAAAGATTGCAAACAAGGAATACATATTTACTATACAAAAAACTCATTTCAGCTCATTTACATTTCGTATTTTATTAAGCAATCCATTTAAATATACTTAGTTTTACTCATCGCTAGCTTCAACAAATAAAATTTCTAAAATGTCTGTAGGCTAAAGATTCATTCCTGGAACGGTATGCTGCATCAATATGGTGCTTATGATACCTTATAAACTGTAGTCAGGTACTAGAATGACCACTTTTAAATTTAGTTCCCTTTCTGTATAATTTAAACAGATACTATTGATGAAAGTAAATAATTATGTGTTTTCTAATGGACGGTTACATTATTTGAACATACATTTTAAACTAATCTTAAAAGTATGTAAAAACTTTTGGTGTACATGTCAGAAAAAGATCCATTTCTAAAATTTAAGAACATACCTGTCAATCAAAGACTCCTTTAATTTTCTTGTGGGCTTTATGCCATCCTTTGGTTTGTATCTCTTATTAATTTGGCTTATCAAGGATCCTGCTGCATCAGTAAATCCTTTCCCTTTTAACTTTTCTCTCTGAAACAATTTATAAGTTACTCAAAAACTCTACCAGTTAACCTCCAAAGGAAAATAAAGGCTACAAAGAAAATTTAAGAAAAGGCTGGCTCTATAAATAATTACAAAGAGAAATAAAGGGAGTCAGAAACTAATAAGTTTGGGATTTGTTAGGCATTAAAACAAGTTAGGATAAGTTTTTTAATATGTAGAACTTTGCAGAGTGCTTTGTAGAGATTTTAAAAAACTTTCTATCCATGAGAAAAAAATATCATAAAAAACTGAAGGAAACCAAAAGCTGGTTCTTTGAAAAGATCAGTAAAATTGATAAGCCTCTAGCCAACTTAATTAAGAAAAAAGAAAGTAGTAGAATAAAAAAAAATGATAAACTCTGTGCCCATGAATTTGATAACCTATACTAAATGGACAAATTCCTTGAAAGACAAATTCTACTAAAACTCACGCAAGGTAGAAATAAATCATCTGAATAGGCCTATATATATTAAAGAAATTGAATCAATAATTAATACCTGCCAAAACAGAAAGCACCAGGCCCAGATGGGCTCACTGTTGAGTTCTATCAAACATTTAAGGAAGAATTACACAATTTTCAGAATCTTTCACAAGACAGAAGCAGAGGGAATACTTCTTAACTCATGCTATAAAGCCAATATATCCTAACATCAAAATTAAAGACATTACAAGAAAGGAAAACTACAGACCAGTATTTCTAATAAATATAGATGCAAAACCCCAGAAAATTTAGATAATCAAATTTAATAATGTATAAATAATATATGTATCACAACCAAATATATTTCCAGGTATGCAATGTTGATTCAACATTTGAAAATCAACTAATATAATCCAGGCTAAAGAAGAAAATCATAGGATAATATTAATAGATGGGTAAAAGCACTTGACAAAATCCAATACCCATTCATAATAACAATTCTCAGAAAACCAGGAATAGAGAAGAACGTCCTTAACTTGATAAAGAACATCTACAAAAAAAGTTACAGCTAAAATTATACTTAATGGAGAGAAACTAGATGCTTTCCCACTAATATCAGTAACAATGAAAGGATGTCTGTTCTCACCACTCCTATTCAACATCATTCTAGAAGTCCCACTAATGCCATAAAACAAGAAAAGGAAATACACTGCACACCTATAATATAAGGAAGAAAGAAAGAAAACTGTCTCTGCTCACAGATGACATCACTGTCCATGTAGAAAATCTTAAAGAATCAACAAAAATATTCCTAGAACTAAAAAATTATAGTACAACTGAAGGATACAAGGTTAATACAAAAGTCAATTGCTTTCTTATAAACCAGTAATGAACAACTGGAATTTGAAATTACATTCCATTTATATTAGAACTGCCAAAAATGAAGTATCTAAGTATAAATCTAACAAAACATGCACAAGATCTGTATGAGGAAAACATGACTGATAAAAAAAATCAAAGACTTTAAATGAATGGAGAGATATTGCATGTTCATGGATAGGAAACTCAATATGGTCAAGATGTCAGTTCTTTCTATCTTGATCTATAAATTCAATGTAACCCCAAAGTCCCAGCAAGTTATTTTGTGGTTATCAACAAAATGATTCTGAAGTTTACACGGAGAAGCAAGAGATGCTGAGTAGCCAACACAATATTAAAAGAGCAGAACAAAGATGGAGGACTGATCCTACTTAAAGATTTACCAAAAAGATACAATAATCAATATAGTGTGTCACTGGTGAAGGAGCAAACAGTATAATGGAACAAAACAGAGCCCAGAAATAGGCCCACATAAATAGTTAATCGATCTTTGACAAAGGAACAAAGGCAATACAATGTAGACAAGACAGTCTTTTCAACAAATGGTGTTAGAACATCATCACGCCCCCCTCCTCCCAAAAAAAGATTCTAGACACAGACCTTAACACTCTTCACAAAAATTAACTCAAAATGGATCATAGATCTAAATGTAAAGTGCACACTATAAGCTATAAAACTCCTAGAAGATAACATAGGAGAAAATCCAGGTGATCCTGGGTTTGGCAATGCCTTTTTATGTACAACACCAAAAGCACAACTCATGAAAGAAAAAAAATATAAGTAGGGCTTCATTAAAGTTAATAGCTTCTGCTCTGCAAAAGATATTGTTTAGAGAATGAAAAGAAAGGCCACAGACTGGGAGAAAATGTTGGTAAAATACATATCTGATAAAGGACTTTTATCTAAAATATACAAAGAACTGTTAAAACTCAACAATTAGAAAACAACCCAATTTAAAAAACAGACTAAAGATCTGAATAAACAACTCACCAAAGAAGATATACAGATAGTAAATAAAAATATGAAAAGATGCTCAACATCATCAATTAGGGAATTGCAGGTTAAAATAACAAGATACCACCAAGCACCTATAAGAATGGATAAAATCCAAAACATTGACAACACCGAATACTGGGGCAAGGATGTCGATCAACAGGAACTCTCCCATTCATTGCTGCTGAAATGCAAAAATGGTACAGCCACTTCTTCCACTTTTGGAAGACAGGCAGTTTCTTACAAAACTAAGCATACCCTTACCATATGACCCAGCAATCATGCTCCTTGGTATTTTTCCAAATGAGTTGAAAGTGTAAGTCCACATAAAACCTGCACATGAATGTTTATAGAGGTATTATTCATAACTGTCAAAACATGGAAGCAACCAAGATGTCCTTCAACAGGTGAATGGATAAACAAGTCTTGGGACATCCACACAATGGATTCAGCGTTAAAAAAAAAAAAGCCATCAAGCCATGAAAACTCATGGAGAAACATTCAATGCATATTGCTAAGTGAAAGAAGCCAATCTGAAAAGACTACATACTGCATGATTCAAACAATATAGTATTCTAGAAAAGGCAAAACTATGGAGACAGTAAAAAGATCAGTGATTGCCAGGAATTTCAGGGCAGTGAAACTATTATGCATGATACTCTAAGGGTGCATACTGGTTGCTATGTATCTGTCAAAACACGGAATACATAACACAAAGAGTGAACTATAAATATGCACTTGAGTTAAGAATATATCAATATTAGCTCATTATTTGTAACAAATGTACCACACAAATGTAAGATGTTAATGATAAAGGAAATGAGGATGGGGTGACGGAGAATGTGGGAGGTATCTGTATAGCTTTAAACCTGAAATTGCTCTAAAAAAACTTAAATGGAAAGACTACAAGGTAAGAATTTGTATCTGCACAATTTTAGATAATTTGATTAAAAAACTCGAATGACACTCTTAAAGGTATGATTTCTCTTGATTTTAGTTTTATTTTTTTCCTGGGAATCAGGCATATGGCTTTTTAAAAATTATGGTAAAATATAAACAAATATAACATGACATAAAGTTTACTATTTTAGCCATCTTAAATTCGTATTTTTTATATATAATAGATAAGTTACTTACTATCTCTTCTTGAAATTACCAGAATAAAGACAGGGTATACTTGCCTTGATAAAAATGTAGCAAATACAAACCTCCCCTGAAACGGTGTATGATTTAAGAATTTTGACATAATTGGGACCAATGTAGGAAATCTGTACCACTGAACTCCAGAGATTCTATTTCTCTGGGTTTATCCAGTGAATAGAAAGACAGGATCAGACAGATGACTGCCTTAGAGGAGAGTCATCCATGAATGATTGGCAGGAAATCCTGCATAATAATAAAGGGAGTGAAACTAGGAAAGAGTGAAGAGAAATTCTGAAAACAGGAAGTTGAGTTTTTAAAAAATTAGAGCACAGATCAGAAGAGATGGCCAAGTTTCTTTGCTCTCAGGAAAAAGGGATGACTAGGTCAGAAAAATTCTGTGGAATGATTCTAAATTCCAAAGAAAATAGTTTAAAATTAAAATTGAAGAACAGATCAGCATTCAGACAAAAAGAACCTTATTCCCCTGGATCTGAAAGAACTAAGTAGCAACTAAGAGTAGAAAGAAGAAAGAACAGCATTCGGAGAAGCAAGAAAAAAGTGACCTAAAAGGATCTGGTCAAGAAAGACAGCAGTCAAATTAGGCAGAAAAAAGTGAACTGCAGGTTAAAAGCAAAATAAAGAATAGCCCATCGAGACAAAGGAAATAATGTCTAATTATATACAACAATTACAAAATTATCTATTAAATATTTCACTTGCACACTAATATATATTAACATTTTACACTGATTCTATAAATTTGACTACCTGGGTATTAATAATACTCTAGAAGATAAATGAAAATGAAGGCTTTTAAACCCTGGATCTTCTAAGGCATAGTGGAAAAGGGATTGCAATACTGATAGTGGAAATGTATTCTGATTAGAAAATTTTCTTCATCTGCATCTTGATAGCAATGACCAAAGAAAAGATTTATGGTAACTGCTACAAAAAGTAAACTTTCAGTCTTTAAAGTATGGTGCAAATTAGCTAAAACTGTCCTGGAGATGTTCTATAGATGGTTAATCTGAAGAAGACAGTGGAGGCATCAATGGGGACAAGTAACAGTTATAATAGAAGATAAATCTCCTCTACCCAACTTACATCCTTTCTTGAAAAAGCTTGTCAGACTTTTAGGCAATTAATACAAAAAATGTTTCAGATGCTACTAAGTACAAAACTGTGCTAGGTCATTCAGGAAAACAAATGTTAAATAAAACATAGTCTTTATACTCTAATAGGCTAAGACAGGGAAAACACAAAATAAGCATTTATTAAAAAGAAAGGTAAGCACTATTAAAGAAGCATGGATGGTTCTATATGCATGTTCAAAAATTCAAAAGACTCTGAGGGACAGAGTGGGAGACAAGGAATAAGAGGAGACAAGGAACAGCGTTTATTCACACTATAGCTAGTTACATGCCTGCTCTGCACCTGCTGACAGGTAGTTCTATCAGGGCTGGGACAGTGGAGAGATCACAAAGGGGTAGAGGAGACACTCACTCCTACGGTCTAAGCTTGAATTAAAGAACAGGGTATTACTAGAGGTTGCCAGTGGGGAGAGGAGAAAGAAGAGGGGCAACATAGGAGCATGGGATTTAGAGACACAAACAACTATCTATAACAAAGATAAGCAACAAGGACAAGTTGTACAGCACAGATAAATATAGCTATTATCTTGTCATGACTTTAAATAGAGTATAAGTTATACAAATAGTGAATCACTGTTGTACACCTGAAACTAATGTAATATTGTAAATCAACTGTACTTCAATAAAAAAGAACAGGGTATTACAAACATTAAATTTGAAGCAATTAATCAAGCTTCTTTCACTTTATGTTACTAGGTAGGCATATTATGGGTGTAAAGAAATAAAACACACTGAAAGCTCACCGTTTTTTTTGGTTTCAAGTCCCAGGAATTAAGTTCAGACATCAGTCTTTTCCCTGATTTTCTAACGCTGTTTGCATTTTTTCTAGGAGAAGGGCTTTCATCACAAATAGCAGTATTCACATCCTTTGACAATATGTATTTTTTCCTATAGATCACAGATTCTTCAACTGTCTTATTTAGGAGAACTGATTTAAAAGTAGTTTCAGATTCAATACGCCAATCACTCTGCTTGGTATTTTCAGTACTTTCCTCCTCCAAGTGTTTAGGATGACCGAGTTGCTGTTTGCTGCCTTTGCAGACTCCTACTTCTGCTTCATCTGCTTTGTTATGCTGCATTCTTTCTTTCCTGTACTGTACCTTTCCTGTTTCCTCAGAATTATCATCAGATGTTGAAGAGGATGATTTTTGTTTAGCAAGTTTTTTGTTGATAATAGTATCTAGTGGGAAAAGGAGAAATTAATCCTTATTAAATTTGTAAACTGATCATATTTAAAATTTGTTACAAACAAAATATTTGTTAAGATATTTCAAGAAATGAGTATCTCCCAAAACTACTATTTTATATACAGAGAAAACTATGTTTCACCTTGATTAAATGTGTCTCCTGATGAAGTACTTTCTCTTTGGTTTTTACAAAGCTGAATATTTGTTACAGGTGTCCAACATACCCATTTGGAGTGCATTTTATTTCCGCAGATGTTGTCTAAAGCACCAGGTAACCTACAAAACAAGTTCACTTGCTTCATATATTACAAAACATTTGCCTGTAACTCTGGCATAAGACCTTGATTTTTTTTTTATTTAGTCAATGTTTATTGATACAAATTTGTTAGCAATCAAATATGAAAATATTTTCATAAGTCATGATGAAAGTTAAAATTCACTATATAATTGATCAGATGAAAGAATATTGTTAAAAAGTTCCATTATTGCTACTATTTTCATATCTACCTAAACATATCTCACATCTTATATGTGTATTTAAACTAGGTTAAATTTCTTCATATTCATACTTTTTAGTTTGAAAATATCATTCATTTTCAGTCTCTCAATTTGAAAAGTTACGTTGGTTGATACAGAAAAAACATGTAGGCTATTTCCTATTGTGCTATCATAATAATATACGTGAAAGATAATTGTCTATAACCAGTACAACATTCTAAAACTATAAAGGCCTATTTCTTTAAATTTGTTACATTCATCTAAAAGTAACATTATTATAGGCTAAATGATTTGATAGGTTTTCTCATACTTACACAGGTTTATCTATTTTTCCCAGTGCCTGTGTATCAGGAACAATATCCTGGAGTTCATCTAAGTAAAATAAAAATTGTGGTATTTTCATTTTTTCAAGCAGTTGGCAGGGGAAAATGGAAGCTGGTACAGAATTTGATCAAAGTTCACATATTGGGATGGAAAGACTGACAGATCTCATCTTCCCGCCTCCCAGACCCAAATTTCTTGGGAACAAAGGCTGTATATTTCTTTGCAACCTCTAAATTCTTTGCATAAAGCTGAATATATTCATTACATATCTTTTTTTTTAAATAAGTGAAAGAGTTAGGGTAAAAGCTAAGTATAAGAGAAGTGTGTGTTTGTGTACAGAATGACTGAAATTAAACCATAAAGTACTTACTAAAATTTTGGTTTGGGAATTCAGTATCCTTATTTTCTACAACTTTAGCAGTTTTGATATGCTACAAACACAGGAGAAATGTTAATGTAAATTTGAATTAAGGTATTATATGAAAACAACTTTTAAAAGTCAGAGTATTAAAATTTAAAACTTTTAAAATTTGCCTTACTATTAAAAGTTGACTTGTTTTTCCATTTATTTCATAAAGATTATGCCCATTCTAGAATACCACCTATCCTAAAACTTCAGAAAGTAACCTTCATTGCAGATAAGGAGGCAGAAGATTCTACAAACTTTCAGATCTCAGCCATGGCTAGGATAGTAATTCAGTTTTCATCCATAATTGAGAACCTCTGAACCTGCATGGCACATCTCCTATTGCTGTTGATCCCAAAGCCTACATCTATTCTGTCTATTCACTAACGTACATATAAACTGGAAATTATGAAATATTTAATGATTTTGTAAAGTTTTGGCCACGACACAGGTAACTTCTTGACTACAGTAAGCTTCCCTCTTTCCATGGCCACAGATACACACTTGCCCAGATCCAATGAAAATTTGCCATCACTATCAAAAAACATACCCTCTAGCTAAGATATTTTGTCTCATCCTGCCTGTCTTCCCTAGTTAGATCTAGCCAGTGGCTCTCTACACTGGGAAAGGAGCAGTATGAAAATGTACAGGTGTGGTTTTGGTTGTCACAGTGTCAGAAGGGTTCTCCTGACAATAAGCAAGCACAGGCCTAGGACGCTCATCTTCCTACAACACTCAGAACTATGCAGCACAACTGAACAGTAGTGCCCCTATCAAGAAACATTTAGCCAGACAATTTGAACCATTATTTTTCCTAATATCTTCAACTCTTGCACCCTTTAGTTTTCTGCCACATAACCATTTAAATTTTTAAAAATTTACTATCTATTCTTTTTTACTGTAACACCAAGGCTGCTAAGCTTGAGGAAATTATATATATTTCTGAATTAACGCCATGATAAAATTCATAGTCTTCAATTTGAACTGGGCCCTCAACATTGCCTAACACTTGCACTTATTCTTGGCCCTCTGCATTATCTCTCAGTAGTTATTCCAAATCTTTGTGTGTCCCTTCAAGGCTCTATCCCCAAGAGAGCGTCACCATCCTCATACTTCAGAGAAAACAAAAGTTCTTAGGTGTTCCTCATCTGCAAACTTATTGGTATCTCTGATTACCTGTATCTCTAAGATACAACTTTCTCTTATCCATTCCCTGCTCTGTTCCCACTTCAGCTACCTGGAATGAATGCCCTTCTCCATGTCCATCTGACAAATAACCTTTATTGACCCTTCTAAAATCAACTCACTTGATCTTTGCCCTCTCTCCAGCTCTGAGGTTAGGCATCTGCCCCTCTACTAGGTTCCTACTGCATCCTGTATGTACATCTGAGAATACTTATACAAGATTATAATTATCTTATTATTTATCTAATTCCCATGCTAGACTTTGAGATACTTAAATACAGATTCACTTGTATCTTACATTTCTAAACCAGAACCTTCCCCATAGCAGACACTAATTTGTATAATAAACTAAAGATTGTTGGCAAGTCCATTTCTCCTACTGAATGCATAAATCAGTTACATTGAATAGATATTTCTATATTTTATTATTAGCATAGCAAATGAGTGATAAGACCTTACTTTCAAGGACAATATATGATATCTAAAAACAAAAAAAGCAATACTTAAAAAAAAAAACCTGAGACACTCACTGCTTGCAAAAGAAGTTAGTTCAATATGTATTTCTATAATAACTTGATAAAAATTTACTAAAAAGTACTTTCAAAGTAAAGTTACTTTGTCTGTATTATCTCCTCTATTTCTTTCTTGAGATGTTCTAGATTTAAGTGATACAGCATTATCCACTCCATTTTTCGATGTTTTGGAAACACCAGGTTTTTCTGTAGAACCTGTCATCTGCAGTGGTGGTTTAATTCTTCCTCTTCGCGGTGTTGCTAAAAAGGAGAACAAAGGACTGCCATTATTTGTAGAATTTTTAAAAATTGCATATCGCTATTATTGAGGTACATTTTAGCTGAGGAAGGTAAAAAAAAAAAAAAGGTTCTAGGGTGGGTCACAGGTTTCTGGTTTAGATCAGTGAGTGAATATGGATGCCATTTACCAAGGCAAGAAATGGAGGAAAAATTGGCAGGGAGGGTGGAAAGATAAATTTATTTCAGACCTGTTAAGTTTGAGGAGTTTGCCAAACATTAGGTAATTAGATTTGAGGAATAGAATGTCATTATTAAATTGTCATAAAGATTAAATAAGACTGTGTTTATAGCAACTAGTATATAGTATCAGGTTATTTTAAGAATTTTATTTAGCTCCTAGTTTGTATGAGGCACTAAATGTCACAATATTCCTTGTTGAATTGAACAACTTTAATTTAATCCTCTAAATAATTTAATGAGGTAGACATTTTAGTCCCATTTTATAGAAAGGAAAACTGGTTCTAAACTTACCTAGAGGATACTCTGTACAAAGTGCACACCTGGAGTGTGGAAACAAGCCCAAGCAGCCCGGTTAATGTTTCATCCACTATGTTATGCTGATTCCAGCTTAAATTGCAATAATTTATGAATGCTGGATATTAATATTTTACATAATGTTTGTATGTCAAAACCCATTAAACTTCAGACATTTGAAGTTTTTTTGACAGAAGATACCTGTGGTTCATATTTATTAATTTTTATAGCCCCAACTGATCCTCTAGGTAATTTATGTCCAGAATATCCCTGAATGTTTTTAAATGCCTGCTTTAAATAATACTTGTTAGAAATCTTTAAGACTGTAAAACTTACATGTATTGATTAGAAGTATTGGACTTCTCACAGTGTATCTCTCTGAACTGGGAACAATCATTGATGCTTCAGACATTTTTCTTTTGCTAGGAGTAATTATCTTAAAGCACGAAAAATAGCCACAGTAAACACATATTCTCTTTTGAAATTAAATATCTTACACTTTTATTCATAACATTTTACCTTGACTACACCCAAAAGATATATGATATTTTATAAACAATATGATATCCAGAAATTTTGAGCTGACTTGAAGGGTTTTATCCTAATGTTTGGTATTGACTAGGCAGCCAAAACAAGTAAGGAATGTTGTTTTAAAGAATATTTATAGAATATCCAGACTTAGAAATACAGTACATTTATATATTAATTGAAAATATTTTATTGATATTCAGTTTATCTAATTAACCAATGGCTCACAATTTCCTATTCTATTTCATAAGGATGATATTCAGAACACATATTTATGTAAATTTGTTTGGGAAAGCTTTCATAATGTTAAGCATTCTTCAAAACTTACACACATTTTAAAAATTGTATTAATATTCTGTGAAGACTAACTGCCTTTGGAGTAAAAAGCAGCTACAAGAATTCAGAAACTCAGTGACACACAAACTAGTGGTTCCAAAAAACAGTTTGCATTTTCTAATTTTAAACCTAGAATGACTGATAAGAACAACAGAAGTAGATAAGCAGAGGCAGGCACCACAGGGAACAGGAGCTCCAGAGGGTGCCGTATCGTATTGAGGAGTACAAGATAAACTGTAAGGAGGCAGAAGAGAGCTGTCCTTAAGCAAGCACCTGCCCCTAAGACAGAGGAAAAACACTGATGGAGCTTTGAGTAGGTACATATATGGGGCATGGAGGAAAGGTAGTGAAAGACAAGAGAAAACTGAATTTTAAGATTAACCAGAAATAAGCAACTGAACCAGTAGATTTTTCTTAAAGAAATTACAGTTCCTAGTGGTATATAATGAATGAGGCCCAAAAAGTTACTTATTCATATAAATGCTTTCAACAGTTAATCCTTATTGACAACACAGTGGATATTTAAAATAGTACGATGTTTTTCAAACTTTATTGTGCTGAAGATCTTTTCCAGAGTGTTTGTGTTATGATTCAATAGTTTTAAGGGTTGGGAGGAGGGAGTCTAAGAACTGCATTTTAAATAAGCACTCAAATTATGAATCTAATATAAAGATACACCAAAAAATGGCAGTTATACTCTGATTATCTAAGGGAACTATAAAATGACACTTTTAATTTAATGAAGGACACAGAACAAAAGGAAAAATCATAAGTAACACAATGTATGGAAGAGCGTGTGAGAGTTATAGTTGACTAAAGGTGAGAGATAAGTAAAAATTGAAATAATAAGGAAAAGCTCCATTAAGAAAGTGAAAATGAATGAGGATTTACAAATGTAAGAACATTATATTATAAATTTGTATTCTACATTATGGCCAAATGCAAAGACAGAACAGAAAGGATAAATGCAAAAAGTGGTGGTTACTTTCCTATATAACTCTAATTTGAAATTTACAAGTGTGTAATATACCTTGTCCTAAACCTCTGGCTCCTACATAAACACAATTTGCTGAAATACTGTCTTTTGTATGCATTTGTAAAAGGCAAGGGAAATTCTTTGAAATGTTACTGATGAACATATAAATTCTAGATGCTTTTTTCTGTTATTATATATAGCAGTGATTTGACCTATGTTGTTTTATAAATGACTGGTTTGATATTATACTTACCTCAGCCTGACTATTTTTTCTGTCCCCTTGATTACTATTTTTGATATATTTTGGAGGTTTAGCTAATTCCTCTTGAGGGGTAAGTTTTTCTTTCAAACTAACAAGTTCCTCTTCAACTGGTGAGGTTTGACTTTCTGGGACTAGAATCTGTTGGAGAATAAGTAAAGTGTTTAAAACTGCAAACCATAGGAAGTTCTTAAAAATCACTGCTTGTCTTAATAAAGCACTCAGTCATCTCACACTTATACAAAATGTCAATTCTTTTTGTCTTCTATCTATGTACTGTTATAATTTTTAGTACTACAAAGTGACCCAACAAAAAACATCCACTTTTTCAAATTGTTAGTAGACATAAAACAAGCTTTGGTATTAGTAGAAGAACATATACTTTTGATTTTTAAAGTTACCAAAATTGGCATTAATAATGATCTATCTTGTGTACTGAAATAAATTAGTAATATGTTTAAAAAGTCATATACATCTTACTGGGGCACTATGTTGAGACTATTTTAAGATACTCACCCTTCAAGTTAAACTTTATTATTGTGCTATTATTTGGGGTTAAATTTAGCCCAGTGATAAAAATCAAGTAAGTTAGACACATACCTGTGATCCACTTGCATCAAAGAGTATATGCACAGATGTTTTGGCAACTGAAATACCTTGTTTTCTGGTAAATTCCTAAAATTAAATTAATTCAAAGGGATGTCATTTCTCCCAGTTCTTTCCATTTTAATGCAACTATTTCCTGTACCTGTGTTCCAAATTTTCCAGTTTATCTCAAATCATTATTTTATATAGACACACATACATACACATGTATGCATAAAAATACCCTTCTCAGAACCCTTCAGTGACTCCCCACTAACCACCGTCTTAGCCTGCCATTTTGGTAAGGGTTCCTCACAAGCATATTGTCTGCTATCCTTCACCATAAATCCTTCACACTGCTATAGGTTGAATGTGTCCCCCTAAATTTGTATGTTGAAACTTAGTCCCTAAGGACGGTATTAGGAAGAGAGGCCTTTGGGGGTTGCTTAGGTCACAAGGGCTCTGCCTCATGAATTGGATTAGCGCCCTTACAAAACAGACCCCAGAAAACTCCCTCACCCCTTCCACCATATAAGGTCCCAGTGAAAAGACAGTCACTGATGAACCAAGAAATGAGTCTTCACCAGACACTGAATCTGCTGGGCACTAATCTACACTTCTAGCCCCCAGAACTATGAGAAATGGCTGTTGTTTAAGCCCCCCAGTCTATGGTATTTTTGTTACAGCACCTTAAACAAAGACATGCACCATCCAAACTTGTCAACAGACTATCCCCCCAAATATAACGTGAATTACCACCTTGATTCCCAGTTAAACAATATCTGACTCATAGTATCTTCCACAATCCTGGAAAGCATCTTATCTAAATTTCATTCATTTCAAAGGCCATTTCAAGGCCCATTTCCATAGCCTTTCCCTCAAATCTGCCTCTTAATAAGCATTCTCTTTCTTCAACTTCTGTATTTCATTTTCCATATGCCACCTACTTACTTCTTCTGAGGCATATTTAGTAAATCTCACAATGTTTAGTATTTTAAAAACAAGGTTTTGTCTTATTTCACTTTTTAAACACTTGGCAGGAATTCATTAAATGTTTTGAGTAGCTGCTGCTAATATTGTCATCAGAGGTTCTTTCTAATAGGTATCTCAAAGGGTATGGCTAACAATCTGATGACCATTCCACAATACTAATTTAAGGAACTAAAAATGTACATGTTATTTTAAGAACTGTAGGGAAAAAAGCAATGAAACTTATAGCCTAAGTAACTGAAAGCTTCCAGAATTATGAAAATACATATTTATTAAAGAGTTCAACTTACCCTATACTTATTTGCACCAAAAATTTTTTGTGTCACATTAGTGATTTCTAACGATGCATCAAAATATAAAAGTAATTCTTTCCCTTCTCCTTTACTAATTTTTACAATATTTTTCAGAATTATAGTCAGTAGCTTCTTCGATTCTCTCACTGTATACAAACAAATCACATTGATTAGTTGCTATTCATTTTTGAGATACCACCCCATAAGTATACTATAATAAGAAAAGCATGCAGCATATCAGTTAAAATGAACTGAAATAAAATTAACTTTTAGGATTTAACAGTATTTAAATTAATCAATTCCAGTACTAACTACCTATGTAAACAAACCAAGTCAGTTTATATTTCTAAGTCTCAGTTTCCTGATCTATAAATTATAAGGTAATACAATAACTGTATATATTCTGGACACTAATAGGCTCTTAATAAATATTCTTTGAACACATCTGAGAAAACTATTTTCTTAATTTAAAAGAGGCAAAAAAAAAGAAAATAAATTTAACTCCAAAAATAACCAAATTTCTAAGCTTAAGCATCTACTCAAACATTTCTATTAAATCCACAGTTGTTACAGATGTATTGACAATAAACATCATTTGACAAAAAAATTGAATGCCAGGAAATTGTGAGGTAAGGATATAGTGCCAGTCCTCAATAAATTTATCAGTCCAGTGGAAAGAAAATACTGTAAGTGTCGGTTTATAAGATGTATTCACCTCCCTTCCTCCAAAAAGTTACAGAAAATTACCTGGCACCCAATTAATGTGCCTATATTACGGCCCTCAGGCCACTATGGTCCCATCCTACTTCTGGTGGTGGTCCTGTTACTGAGAAGTCTCCACACCTGCTCCCAATGTTTGCTTTTCGGCAAGAGGAAAACTTCCTGAGGGAGAAGGACCACACCAAGGAGAAAAATTTGTTTCTACATCAGGAAAAGCTCTGCTAGCCATTCCATGATTTACTCTGAAGGACAAATGTCCCTATCAGCTATAAAATTCTCTGATTCTTAGGAGGCCTCCCCAAGCAGAAAATGTCTTATTTGCTTTTGCAACCATAAGGTCATGAAACTTACACAGTAATGTCCTTTGATGGTACTAAGAATTTTTAGTTGCCTGAAGGTAGTGGTAACGCAGTTCCTAACTCAGAACCCTGGTAGTTTTTGGGTTTTTTTAACTTTTTTTTTTTGAGTTATAGTCAGTTTACAGTGTTGTGTCAAATTCCAGTGTAGAGCACAATTTTTCAGTTGTACATGAACATACATATATTCACTGTCACATTCTTTTTTGCTGTGAGCTACCACAGCTCTTGTATATATTTCCCTGTGATACACAGTATAATCTTGTTTATCTATTCTACTTATGCCTATCTGTATCTACAAATTTCGAACTCCCAGTCTGTCCCTTCCCACCTGGCAGTTTTTTTTTTTTTTAAAAAGAAAAAACACAGTCACAACTTTCAACAGTAAAATTTTTCAGGCTTTAAAGGTGAAAAATTAGGTGACTTTGAAGATGATAATGTCAGATTTTGATGATGAAGATTAGGACATTTATAATCTTTGAGGATATTTTTGCTGATTGTTATATGCATTTGATTTTTTCCCCATAGCTTGCCTTGAACTTAGAGTAAATGCAGTATTTGCTTCACTGCTTGCAGGAACATGGTATTAGAATTACTTCAAAGTTATTATTTTGCTGAATGCTTTATACATGTTTGTACAAAGTATTCTCCACATATATCATGACTATACATAAGAATTTATTGGTATTTGTTATATTTTATTGCTAACTTTGTTGAAATTTCTGATACTTGCTTTGAAGGCCTGGGCTATATCATGGCTAGCTTTTTACTTAGCAATATTACTGAGACATAAGAAGACTTCCTATTTGTTGCTTGCTGTAAAATCTAAGTATTTATAGATATCAACATATTTGGTTGGATCTTACAATGTTATCTAGGTATTTCTGTAGCATTCCAGTACACTACAGTTATGTGAATATAATAATATGCTTTCTCCTGCAAAGCCATTCAAAAAAACACTTCCAAATTGTGCATGGAGCTTTTATTTCATCTATGCCTATGAACTGTACCCAAAAGGGTCTCACTGCTCTCTGTCAGCTGCTCCCTCCCAGGACCTCAGCATGCAACTGCAGACATTCTTTTTCACTAGAAATACTACTTCATCTCCATAGTCCACACTTATTTTTTCATGTAAAAATTCAGATCTTGCCTGCTTCATATAGGTAGACTATGTCACTGCTTTATTACAGAAGATATTAAAGGATACAAAGGAACAGCCAGATGAAGAGAGCCAGCTGAACTGTCTATGAATGCAAAAAGAATGAGATAGAGAAAGACACAGGATCCAAACAGGCTTTTTGTTTTAAGATGCAGTGACAAATGTACCATAAAAATGTATGATTATGGACATTATATTGTGAAGCCAGTCACAAAAAGACACATAATGTATAATTCCACTTAAAATACTAAATGTCACAGAAACAAAAGGCAGAATGGTCGTTATCAGGGGCTGGGTGGAGGAGGGAAAAGGGCTGTTGTTTAACGAGTACAGAGTTGCAATTTCACAGGGTGACAAAAGTTCTGGAGATCTATTTCACAATAATGTGAATATACATAACACTACTGAACTATACACTTAAAGTGGTATTTGGTCCACTTTATATGATTTTTACCACAATAAAGAAAAATAGGAGAAAACGGGTGAGGGTATATATGGAAACTTTCTATACTACTTTGGCAAGTTTTTTTTTTAATGAAATTAAGAGTTTATCTTTAAAAAAGACTCAAATCAAACTTCTAGAGATGAAAAATACAATGCCCAAGATAAATATAATACAGGGAAGGAACAGAAGCAGATTAGACAGCAGAAGAAAATACTAATGAGCAATGAAACACAACCATATAAAACAATTCAAATAAAAAAAGAGAGTGGAAATAAAAGGGGTGTGGGGTGGATAACCCAGATTATCAGTGAACTATGGGAGAACTTCAAGTAGCTTAGTATATGTATAACCAGAGCCTCCAGAGGGGAGGAGAAAAATGAAGGAGCAGAAAAAAATATTTGAAGAACAATGGATGAAAACTTTAGAAGCAAGAAGCACAATGAACCCTAAGAACAAACAACATGAAGAAAATTACACTAAAGCACCATAATCAAATTGTTTAAAACTGTGAATGAAGAGAGAACTTTAAAAGCAACCAGGGGAAAAAAAGACTTTAAAAGGAGCAAATACGAGAATGACAGACTTCTTACCAGAAATAATACAAGTCTAGAGACAGTAGAGTAATATCTTTAAAGTAAATTGAAAGAAAAACAATTAGCAATTTAGAATTCTGTATGTATCAAAAATAATTTTCAAAAATAAAAATAAAGACTTTCTGACATAAAAAAGCTGAAGGAGGTTATCAGTAGCATATTTTCACTACAAGAAATATTAGAAAAGTCACTCAGGAAAAAAGAAAATATTACTAGATGGAAATCTGGGTCTATACAAATGAAAGCTGAGCATTGGAAATGGTAAATATGTAGGTAAATATAAAACAGTCTTTAATCCACTTTTAAAATCTCTTTAAAAGCTGATTGGCTGATTTAAAAAATCATAATACCACATTATGAAGTCTGACATATTCAGAAACAAACAAAAAAAATTTGTAATATTATCAGTAACTGCACAAAGGCCAGGAAAGTAAAAATGGAAGTATACTGTTACAAGGTTCTTATACTGTTCATAAAGGGGTATAATATTACTTGAATATACACATTATTAAGTTAAATATGTATAAAATAAACCCAAAATCAACCACTGAAAAACTGGATATAAAGACAACAAAAGAAATACAATGAAATCACCAAAAATCAATTAACACAAAAGAAAAAGATAGGAAACATGACCACATCAACAAAAGTAAGGACAAAAATCACATGATCAATCTCAACAGATGCAGAAAAAGCATTTGATAAAATTCAACACCCATTTGTGATAAAAACTCTTACCAAAGTGGCTATAGAGGGAACATATCTCAACATAATACAAGCTATTTATGACAAATCTACAGCCAGCATAATACTCAAAGGTGAAAAGTTGAAAGCCTTCCCACTAAAATATGAAACGAGACAAGGCTGTCCACACTCACCACTTCTATTCAACACAGTATTATTGGAAGTGCTAGCCATAACAATCAGACAAGAAAAAGAAATAAAAGGAATCCAGATTGGAAGAGAAGAAGTAAAGTTGTCACTATACGTGGATGACATGATACTATGTATTGAAAATTCTAAAGGCTCCACACAAAAACTACTAGAGCTGATAAAAGAATTTGGCAAGGTAGCAGGATACAAGATTAACACAGAAATCAGTTGCATCTCGTTACACTAACAATGAAATATCAGAAAAGGAAAGTAAAGAAACAATCCCTCTTAAAATCACATCCAAAAAATAAAATACTTAGGAATAAATCTGACCAAGGACGTGAAAGATGTATACGCAGAGAACTACAAAACATTCATTAAGGAAATTAAAGATGACTTAAAGAAATGGAAAGATATTCCATGTTCTTGGACTAGAAGAATTACTATTATTAAAATGGCTATACTAGCCAAAGCAATCTACAGACTTAATGTGATCCCTATCAGATTACCCAGGACATTTTTCACAGAACTAGAACAAATTATCCTAAAATTTATATGGAATCACAAAAGGCCCATAAATGCCAAAGCAATACTAAAGAAAAAGAACGAAGCTAGAGGAATAACCCTCCCAGACTTCAGACAATACTACAGCGCTACAGTAATCAAAATAGCATGGTATTGGCACAAAAACAGACACACGGATCAGTGGAACAGAATAGAGAGCCCAGAAATAAACCACAGACTTATGGTCAATTAATCTTTGACAAAGGAGGCAAGAATATATACAATGGAGTAAAGACAGCCTCTTCTGCAAATGGTGTTGGGAAAACTGGACAGCTGTATGTAAATCAATGAAATTAGAACACTCCCTCACACATACACAAAAATAAACTCAAAATGGATTACAGACTTAAATATAAGACAAGACACTATAAACCTCATAGAAAAAACATAGGCAAAACATTTTCTGACATAAATCTTAACAATGTTCTCCTAGGGC